TCCGAAGGCAACTTCTGTCCCATCGGTTGATGGTTCTCACTGTCGGGAAATTCCTCCTTATTTCCAGGTTGAATCTCTGCTTGATCGGTTTCAAACTTGATCCATTATTGGATTCAAGGATTCGTGGATTCAAGCTTGATCTATTATTCCTTGTCTGGCCTTCAGGTGCCTTGGAAAATAGTTTGACCCCCCTCCCCTCAGTGGCAGCCCCTCAAATATTGGAAGGCTGCTCTCCTGTCTCCCCTGGTCCTTCTCTTCCCTAGACTAGCCAGGCCCAGTTCACGCAACCGTTCAGGAACATAACATAGACGGTCAGAAGACTCCCACGTTTTCACGTGTGATCATGTTTAGCTACATAGGATGGGGCTGAACCTGGCATGTTCTCCACGCAAAAGTCTCCCCCACCACTAAGCTACCTCAATTCCACAGTGGCAGCATCGGAGAGGTAGAGGAACCCAGGAAGCCTCTGAGATACCTTCACCAGGATGGTCCTCCACCTTGGAAGTTGAGTCAAGCTCACGTTTCAGTTTCTGTAAGGAAGATGGATACGATTGTCCGGAAATACTCACATGCAGTAAGTCTGCGGGAGGCCACAGCGAGCTCCGTATCTGGAAAGGAAGCGGTTCTCCAGGTCGATGATGGTCTCCCCAATCTTCTCGTCTTTGGACAAGAGGTCGTAGTCATACAGGGTGATCTTCAAGTCCTTCTCCATGGGCAACGTAGAAGTCAACTCAAACATCCTACAGGAAGCAGAAACACGCCCGTCAGCTGAAAGGAAGAAGGGCTTGGGTGTTCAGCCATTGAAGCTCCTTTCGAGCACTGATGAGGTTACCTAGTGGGGTATTGAGATGTCTGCAAGAAAACAAGCAGGCTCAGAGAGCACCGAGGACCCCATAGTCATCTCCCCTTCCTCCCCCCTTCCTCCTCCTCCTCAATTCGCAGCCGGAGAACCCACCCCAGGCCATTCAACATCGTTTCATTCCGTTTCTTTGATTATTGGTGTCCGTATATTGGATTTCTGGATTGGCTTTCCTCGTTTTGCTATTATTGGCCACGTTTTGGTTGAAACTGGTTTCGCTTTGGGGATTGTTGAGTTGTCCGGCAGACAATTCCATGCAGGAGCGGCTACTCCCCTCCACCGCCCACCCTGCCAGGGACTTCTGTGGCAGTGTTTCTCAACCTTGGCAACTTGAAGTCCNGGAGGAGGAGGAGGAGGAGGAGGAGGAGGAGGAGGAGGGAATCCACCAGTTTCTTCGGAGTCAGCACCTTCTCCCTGCCAACTGTACCTGTTCGATGTCCGGCTGGAGGGGGCTGTGCAGCTGCCGGGTCTCCACGTGTTCAGGGACCAGGCGTTGCTTCTGCAGGACGTGCAGGGCGAGCCGTTCTTCCGGGGGGCCCAGGTGGGGGTTGGGGGGCTCGCTGTCCTCTGAATCGAAGAGAAAAGGCAGAGATTTCACCTGCTGCTCAACTGCTGGGGCTCCTGTCCGTCATGCGGGGGGGGGGGGACGACAAAGGAGAAGGACCCCTAGCGGAGGCCCTGCTCTTCTTCAGCTGCCCACTCTTCCCTTCGGTGAGCGACAGAAGAAACTATTTGGGGGTCTCAGGTTGAACCTTGGTCGGGTCCTTGGGGTCCTTGGTGGGTTTCCTGGAGATGTTTCATCACCCAACTAAGGAACATTATCAGTGCTAGAAGAGAATAATGGTTTTTTTGGGGGGGGAACTGTGGGGTCCTTGCAGACTTTTCATGACCCAACTAGATAATATCATCAGTGCTAGAAGGGAGCGGGGTTTGCAGAAAGGAGGAGGGCGAGGAAGACGATGATTGTAGATTCCTTGGTGCTCTCTGAGCGTGGCTCTTTTCTTCCAGACGTTTCATTACCAAACCAGGTAACTTCATCAGTGCTAGAAGGGTGTGAGAGGCTCAACCGAACAGTGAACAACGGCCTCATCAATCAACCACCAAGTCAAAGGCAACACTCCCACCAACCCCCGCAGGGCACGTCAGTGAGTAGCAAACCAACAGCTAACTCCCCCCCACCCCTTCTAGCGTGGATGATGTTCCCTAGTTGGGTCACGAAACGTCTGCAAGAAAATGAGAGGCTTCAGAGAGGACACCAAGGCTTCCTCGGTTGAACCGGACTCCTCGCTCTCGGCCTTCTACAGCCCTTCCTTGACCAGAGCAAGTGGGCGAACCTCTGGGAAGCCCCCGTCCCCCAACAGAGGACTGACACAATCCAACCCAGCCATAAACCTCCCAAAGGATTGCAAAAGCCCGCAAGCATGGAGAGGAAGATGGGATCCAGGAAGACAAGGGCTCCTCTGCCTCCCCCCCCCATGGGGGAGCTTTGGGCTCAGCCCCCGGGACGAGGGTCTCTCTCTGCTGGACGGAAGCTACACCTACAGGCCTTGGCTGCCCACACCACCACACCCAGAGAGGACTGGTTTGCTTTGGGGGGATCCAAAAGGGGTGCCAGGAAGATGAAAGCATCTGACACTCTTGATGTATAGAATAATAGAGTTGGAAGGGACCTTAAAGGTCATCTAGTCCAACCCCCTGCCCAAGCAGGAGACCCTACGCCATTTCGGACAGAGGGCAGTCCAGGCTCTTCTTGGAAGCTTCCAGTGGTGAAGCTCCCACAACTTCTGAAGGCAACTTCTGTTCCATGGGTTGATGGTTCTCACTGTCAGGAAATTCCTCCTCATTTCCAGGTTGAATCTCTCCTAAGTTTCCATCCATTCTTCCTTGTCTGGCCTTTGGGTGCTTTGGAGAATAGCTTGGCCCCCTCCTCTCCTCTCTGGGGCAGCCCCTCAAATATTGGCAGATGCTCTCCTGTCCCCCCTGGTCCTTCTCTTCCCTAGACTAGCTGTATGCAGCTCTTGCAACCGTTGATTGTATGTTTTATCCTCTAATCCCCTCCTCCTTCTGGCTGCTCTTCTCTGCACTCTTTCCAGAGTCTCCACATCTTTTTTGTATTGTGGAGACCAAAACTAGACCCAGCATTCAAGGATGATCACACTTCACTTAAAAACTGCCCATTAGCACCAATAAAGAAGACTATTGGAAGCTCGGGGTTGAAATGAGGGGTCCTTGGTGCTCCCTGAGCTGGGTGGTTTCCTTGCAGACGTTTCTTGACCCAGCTAGGTAACATCATCAGTGCTATTAAGGAATGGAGTTTGCTTCCCATTCCTTACTAGCACTGATGATGCTACCTAGCTGGGTCATGAAATGCCTGCAAGGAAACGACCCAGCTCAGGGAGCCCCAGGGACCCTCGCTGGCCCCGCAGTCGCTGGTTTTGCAGGGGCCGGATGGGGGGGGGCTATCTAAGGTGAGATTGGAGGGGGGGCCGGGAGGGAGCCGAGAGGTTTTTACCCAGGTCCGAGAGGCGGAACGTCTGGTCTCCAAAGATGATCTGGTCCGTTCTGCAGAGGGGGGGTTTCCCGTGGAGCTGCCAGGAGAGGCGATGGAGGAGCTGGGAGGGGCGCTGCTGATCCCTCCACTGGTTGGGCCCGGAGCTGGAAGGGGAGAAGCGGGACAATCAAGCAGGGGAGCCTCCAAGCGGCCTTCCTCCAAGGCTCCCCAAGGTCTGGACGGGCAGTCCTCCACTTACGACCATGCACGCCTGAGCCCCCAAGGCCTGCTGCTAAGCGAGACCCTTGCTAAGTTTCAGCCCTGCCCCATTTTACCACCCTTTTTTTTGCCAAAATTGCAGCGGTTTCAGTTAGCAACACGGTCCTTAAGTGAATCTGGATCCCCCGTGGCCTTTGCTCGCCAGAAGCTCCCCAAGGGGGATCACGTGACCTGGGGACACTACGACCGTCATAAAGATGAGTCAGTTGCTGAGCCTCTGAATTTGGATCACGTGACCGTCGGGGCGCTGCAACGGTCGTAAGTGTGAAAATCGGTCATTAAATGAACGAAGCCAAGGTCCCTCTGTAGACCTTTGTAGCTTCAACTTATTGGATCTTCTTCCGGAGCCATTCTGGCCGGCCACAAGGGGGGGTTCAGGGTTCAGATCTAGGCGCAAAGTTCTTTTCTGAGACACAATACAGATTAACAGAGTTGGAAGGGACCTTATAGGTCATCTAGTCCACCCCCCCCCCCGCTCAAGCAGGAGACCCTGCCCCATTTCTGACCGAGAGCAGCCCAATCTCTTCTTGAAAGCTTCCAGGGATGAAGCTCCCACAACCTCTTCTTATTTCCAGGCTGAATCTCTCCTTGGTCAGTTCCCATCCCTTCTTCCGTGTGCTTTGGAGAATAGCTTGACCCCCTTCCTCTCTGGGGCAGCCCTCCCAATATTGGCAGACGTTCTCCTGCCTCCCCTGGTCCTTCTCTTCTCTAGACTAGCCAGGCCCAGTTCCTGCTGCACAAGTCTTCATGTTTTAGTCTCCAGATCATTGATCGTTTTAGATAGATTCAGATTAACAGAGTTGGAAGGGACCTTGGGGGTCATCTAGTCCAACCCCCTGTCCAAGCAGGAGACACTACACCATTTCTGACAGATGCCAGTCCAGTCCCTTCTTGAAAGCTTCCAGTGATGACGCTCCCACAACATCCGAAGGCAACTTCTGTCCCATCGGTTGATGGTTCTCACTGTCGGGAAATTCCTCCTTATTTCCAGGTTGAATCTCTGCTTGATCGGTTTCAAACTTGATCCATTATTGGATTCAAGGATTCGTGGATTCAAGCTTGATCTATTATTCCTTGTCTGGCCTTCAGGTGCCTTGGAAAATAGTTTGACCCCCCTCCCCTCAGTGGCAGCCCCTCAAAT